GCCTTCCTAAAACTAAATAAGCTTGTCAGGAGATGGGACATTACCCCAGACAGCTGAAGTTCAATGAGTTATATCTCTTTTGTTTGTCTCTGTTTTCAGTGAGGCTACAAAAGCTGTAGACCTCCTCTGAATGGCAGAAATATTTATCTACCAAATCAGCTGAAATATTTTTATATGGAAGTTTTTTCAGACCCCTCTCATTTCTGAGGAAAGGATCTTTTCCACTGTTTTAAAGTTATCAAATTTCTCAAAAAGATTTGCAATTTCAGAATAGAACTGTTCCTTAGGAAATAAATTGCTTCTGTATATACTTTTATTTTTTCTCTGGAAAAAATGCATTTATTACATGTATAAAGCAAGAAAGCCCAGGCTCTTTCCATGAACAGTATGCCAGAGTTAGCACGTATTGCCTGAATTTGAAACATTTTGGCAAACCATTTCTCTCAGAGGGTCTTTTCTGACAATTTGTTCAGTAAATCTGTCCTGAAGACCTTTCTTTCTTCAGATAAAACAGAAAAAAAAGGAGTGCTGGATTAGTCAAATGGCGTGAATTGTTTAAATAAAATCTTGCAGGAATTTTTTTTAATGAGTCAGAGTAGCTGATAAACTTCGTGGACTTCGTTGTGTTTCACTTGCTGTATCCAGAACTCCACCTCCCTAAACCATACTGTGGCCTTTGTTTCTTTGTGTCTAAAAGACACCTTTCATTTGAGAAAACCAAAAAGCTTTTCGGGAAATGTTGGACATATTTATTTCTGAGCACATTGCTGATATTTGCCCCTAGGTACTTGCCAAGTCTGTTAAACAGTCACAAAGTGCCTTTTGCTTTTTCTGGAATTTGCAAATAGTAGGGATTTGTCATGCCTTATAACCCTCCACCTCACCAGAACTGTCATAATGGAAAAGAAAATATATTAAAAGATGCATCTGCGCAAGTTAATTTTAAAACAACTTCTAGGCAGTTATAAAAATGGAAAACATGTTTCTCTGTAAAGAAAACCTGCAAGTTAGCCAATCAAACTTTAGCCTCAGGGATTCAGAGAGGTGTCACTTAGGGCTTTTAATGTTGCACACATAAAGGCATCCTGCAAAAATAGCAGACACTTTAGCCGTAAGTGACAGTGTGACTCCTCTCCACCTCGCCCAGCTGCATGTTCAGGGTTAGCTGTACTCCAGACTCCAGAACAGCACAGAAACACACAGACCAGCTTTAAATACAGTGATTCAGGCATCCGAATTGTTCTAGACTCGGCAGTACCATGCTTGGCAGATTGTACTTTTGGGACATAAATCAGGATCTGGGGTTGGAAAGAAAATGGGCCTTGGAGTGATTATTTCAGACCTAAATAACTATCTTTCCAAAGGTACGAGTCAGTCCCTGTTCCACCTAGCCATGTTACCAGGGAACCTGGTGGCCACCACTGCCCATATAGAAAACGTGTCGCTTAGGATCTGGAGGGATGAGCTCTGGGGTTTGGCCATCGTTTCTAGGATAGCCAAACCCCAGAAATATTGACAAAAGTCTCTAGGAAAGCCTCTTCTGGCCTGCCACCTGCCTCTGGTATTTGCTATTCTTCTCTACTGAAAGGACACCTTGGTTACCAAGATGCCAGACACTTTTCTCCCCTCTTTCACAGCACGTTCCCAACTTCTCAGCTGGCTGCTTTCTGTAAACATCACTCCACGTCCCATCTCTCTGCTCCCATACAGGGCAGTTCCCTTGGTGGAAAACCAGGATTGACATGTGTGTCAGGCCCCATGAGGGTCCTCCTCAGCCCAGAGGAATTTTGCTGGGCTGAGGCAGGACATGGCCCCCGCCTCCCCGATGCTTGTCTGGGGTGTCTCCACAGTCCCCAGTGGCATGACAGCCACCCTCAGTGGCCAGGGCCGCCTTGGCAGTCAGACTGAAGAAAACACGTAAGCTAGGTCCCAAACATTCCTACAGATGGTCATTTTGCAGAGCAAGCAGCTTTCCTCCTGAAGGCAGGCAGCATGACAACAGGCTGTTGCAATTTCAAGGAAAGCAGAGGTTGGCCCGGCATGGCAGCAATGAGAAGGTTTGGAGATGGAATGCAAACCGAAGAATATTTGAGGCTGAGAGGTGGGTTGAGATTGTAAAACCAAAGCACCACTGTTTGTTTTGCGTGCTCACCCAGCAGACGTGACCTTGGCACATTTTGGCTGGGACTTACCTTTCCTTTGCAATGAAACAAGACTCTGGTCCCTCACTGAACAAAGTACTTTTAACAGGAAAAAAAATAATTGAAAATAGTGAAAGGTCTTCATCTTTCTCCCTCACCACCAAAGTCGCTATCTGACCATGTTTTTTAAAGGTTTAGAAGCATGAAACAGTAAATGTCAGACATCAGGCTTCTCACATGTTTATACTGGAGGCAAATCCCAGCACTTCCAAATACCATGTCCAAATTCAGGTTTCAAGTATAAAGAATCTGACTGTTAATTGAGGTTTTCACTTTATTTAATGGCCTGTATGACTTCAAATACAATGTTTCAATGTATGTTATTTTATCAAATAAAATTAGAAGATTGTTGTGATCTTAAAAGGAAAGACACTCCAAATAGCAAGAACCCTGGTGGTTTGCATTTTTAAGGAGTCTAATTCAGCACACAAGATTTCTTCATGTGTTCATTGGTTTTTTTCCAGCAGATACCTGCTTCCATGCAGATGGACTAATATGTTCAAGGTGTATCTTATATGTATTTGAGGAAATTAATGGTTGAGAGATGAAATTGATTTCCCTATGGAAAATTAGTATTCAGAAGTTGATTCATCCATAGACAATACTAAAGGAAACCACCAAGGCCACTTTCAGTCTTGTGAGCTGCCAGAATTCATCTGAAGTCATTGGGGTGATGACAAATGACACCAAGATCTGCAATCTTAATCTGAGAACAAAACAAAAGTGACACCTGTTTTATGCCTAGCTTTCCCTACTTCTTTTTTATTGTCAACAGTGAAAGAGATTCATGTATCAAATTTGCTCTTGAACTAAGAATCTGACCACAATCTGCACATGCATGCATTTTAATGTGCCATACACTTCACATCAATACCATCTATTCTCATGCTATTTGCCCAAAATCTTTCAACTGAATTGTCATTCAGCGGCTATTACATTTAAACTCCCATATAATCCACAGGGCTCTTTATATTTCTGTCTTATATTTACATATTAGCCCGCGTCATTTGGAGGCTTCTGTCATCCACATTAAGAGAATTTTTTCTTCCATGGTGAGCGTAATTATCTCAAAATCTCTCAGTCATGACTCAATTTGGTATGACTAAGCATGGATGTGAGTTGCTAGCACAAGTTAATGGCAGTATGTTTCATCAAGCCAACAGTCCATTGTTTTCAAAGCTCTGTGCAACCTCACAAGTGTTCAGTGGTAAACATTCCAAAATATCATACTTAAGAAATTCAGGAGAACATGATTTTGGTAACATCTACAGCTACACTGAGAATCTAGATATTGAGCATTTATATTTATCTCAGTCTTTAGGATTAAATAATTCAGATTCTTGTGATTATTTAAAATATCCTAAATATGCTTGCTTACTTAGGGAGTGTTAGAAACCATGTGTGTATCGCCTTTTCATAAAGAATTGAAAGAATAGTTTTAGCTTTAGAATAAAATACACAAGAATCAGATGACTCAGAATAATCTGGGAGTTAATATTATTAGTTCCTAAGATATCTGAATAGCATTAATGTAATAGATGCGTATTAGTTGAATTGTATTTATCATGATTTTTAAGCAAGTCACCACCTGGCAGTTTCTCACACCATTTAACATGCAGATACAGGCAGAACAAGCACAGGAATCTGGTTGCCTTCTGGTGGAATGTTGTTGCTAGGAAGATGGTAAAAAGATAATTATGTAGAGAGAGAAATCATCTTTCTATTGTCTGCATGTATTATGTCTAGACCAAAAGGCCTTAAATTATGTTTGGGGATTCCAGGCATCACCATGGAAGTAGAAATAATACTGCTTTGGCCTGGTATCTCCAAGGTATATTACTTATGGTCTGATAAAAGTTACAGTTTATAACAGGGAAGAAACTTTACCTGCAAAATAGCTGTAATGTGGGGATTTTTTTATATCTACTATAAAAGAGTCCTACTTATGAGAGAGGTTATTCCTACATTTCTGTGGAGAAAAAAGTCTCTCTCACTGAAAGTACACAAACTGCAATACCTATCATCCATCCTCTCTACAAAGATTGTATTTCTGACAGGGAACAAATAATTTTCTGTAGATCGTTCCAGTCAAATCCCCTGTTTTCTCATTTTTCTCTGAAGTCCCAGAGAGAGTGGCTTGTCCATGGCTATCCACGTGTAAAGGCTACTCTAACAGTTAATATCCAGCCCTGTTAAACCGAGATGTGAGCAACAACCTACAGGAATGAAATGAAGATTCTCACTTTCTGCCATCTTATGACCCCGTGTCTTAGAAAAACATTACAAAAAGGTGAATGGTATCACTGCTGACATGTAAGGCACGATGTTTCAGAGCAGGAGAGAGCTCCACGCATCCCACCAGCCCTCTGCTCACTGACACATGCTGCTGCTCCTCACTTGACCCTGGAAAGTAAGAAACTGGAGACAAGTTGTGCTTGCACCCTCCAAACAGAGACAATGCTATGCAGTACTGCTTAGATCACAGGCAAGCATTGCTTAAAGGTCAAAGAACTTTTGTTCTGTGCTCTATTCCATGTGAGGACATAGTGTTTTCCTTCAGTCCAGCTCACTCAGCCTTAAGCAGAGGGTTTAGGGCTTAGGTCTAAATGAGCTCGTTATTTACATGAAGGGATAACATGTGGGTCAGGTTCAACAAGAGGCATTAGAATAAGCAGTACAAGACTACCACAAGATTGAATAAACCCAAATATTGCCATATTTTCTGGGAAGAAAATAAACACCACCCAAGAGAAAAAGTGGTCAGAAATCAGAGACGTGTCTGACCTGAGTTGTACATACCACGGTGTTGTTGCTCAGGTCGACATTCCCACCGAATAACTGGCCAGAACAACACTGCTGCTGAATTCAGTTGCCCCACTGCGAACCCAGCCGTTAAATACTGGGAACTCAAACAATAATCTCTCTAACACACTGAGCTAGTTTTGTTCCCACCCAACTTTCCTATCTCCCCTTTCACTTTATTATTTAAGGATCTATTACCTTGGGTTTGTACAGCAATTTAATCATACAAGGCCTGATCCTGTGAGGTGCTGAATGCCTTCAGCTAACACTTACCACACATCACTGAAGGAATGTTTTGTCTCTGGCTACATTTTCAGCCTGGCAGTTTCCCCTGTCTTTTCCACATGTAGTGGTGCTACATGATCCATTTAAAGGGCACCTTGACTGTTCTTTGTATTCCTGATACACAGAATTATTGAAGTAATTGACTTAGTAAAGTAACTATTTTAGTGAGGTAATTAAGCATGTTTATAAGTTTAAAAGCAGACAGTACTTCCACAGACGTCAAGGGAAATATTCATACATTTAATGTTATCAATTAAATTAAATTCCAGCCAAAATGAGCTCTTTGTTTTATTGCATTTATGTCAACCATGTCCCAAGGGCGTAGCCAGTGCTAGGGATTCACAAAGATGCAAGGGAGTCTGTGACATTCCTTATGTCACACAGCCCCTGCACAGTAAAATAAGTAACACTGAAGCCATAAAACCAAATCATCATACACTAATAAGGCATTTCACAGATGCTCTCAAAAACACTCCACAAAACAGATGGATAAAATTACTGCCTGTTGTTTGCACAGCCACAAATATATGTAATGAAGATCAAGTCCTTATCCCAAAGAATTTATCCCCTGAAATGCAACTACCTGTAGGGAGAACCATGACAGCTTTTTAAAAGCTCTGTATGTTTTAGATTCTCCAAGGACAGAGATAACTGGTCAATCCATTAGGCCTATAAATAACAATAAATAATACACATCTAAGATTCTAAATCTATTTTAATAAAGACCTGTCTAATTTCCCCAATTGTAACACTTCTATTATAAAGCTGCCAAATTTCATTAGCTTTCTATTTCCAGTCAAACCTAAACAGGAGGTGCCCGCCATTCAGTAAAAATTGCCAGTTTTGGTCAAACAAAAACTTGGGACTACAGACCAGATCTTTCCAGAAATTAGTGTGAAGAAGCATCCTGACAAAACTTCACCACTGAGATGGGAACTTATGCCCTTGACCAATCAGTCCCTTTAAAGCATGATATAATTCATCCACATGGTTCTCCTTTGAAGCTAGAACAAACATCTCTTGCTCACCCCTCAGCTGTAGCATTCCAGCAGATAGATCCGTCAGCAGCAGCTAGTCACATTCATTCTTCACAATTTGGTGTATCATTCTTCATGTGACTTTTGAACACAGAAAACAAGACACCCTTATTTGTAGTAAAGCACTGCTGCCCTTAACAGATTTCAAACAGTCAAGGAGCTGGGCTATGGCCTCTGCAAGCTACCATTGCCTTAAAGACCAAAATATCCTCTTCAAGCTTCTTGGTGAAGAATTCAACATCTTTAGGAAAGAAAAGAAGTAGCATCAATCACATTTGCCTAAAAGTCAGCCAAAGGATGATCTGTTAAACTGAAGCTGCTGCATTTATCAGGCTGGAACTAGTCCTTATATTCTCGCTGGCGAGCCACCAAAAATTTTTATACACACCAGTGTTCCACAGGCTTTGAGAGCCTGTTTTTGTGTATAAGGATGTCATGCAAGGAGAAGACTTCCCAAGGTCTAACCAAGAGCTGTAAAATCATTATCTGGACACACATGTTAAACAATAAGAAAGCAAGCACCAGTGTTTGCTCCTAGTTCCTGTGCACATCTACCGCCGAGAACATGAAGAATCAAACCCAATCACTATTAAAATCAGAATTGGCAGATCATCTGTATATTACTGTGTTCTAGCCATGGATATAGGGAGATGTCAATCTAACTTTTTAATTAAAATTGATTTACTGTATTATTCTAGTGTGTTTGAAGTAGTAAATATCTGCATGAGTAGTATAGCAATGTTTAATCAGTAACTAATTACAATGTCTGAAATTTGACAAAAATAATAAAAAATAAAAATCATGGAACAAATCTTCCAAATGAATTTCTAAAGTGGTCATTAATTTTCCTGGCTACAGCTAAGAAAACAAAATTTAACATTTACCAAAGTTGCTGACAAAATAAAGCTCAGTACAGGATCAGATTTTCCATGAATATTTGTGATAAGTGATTGATGGTTTATATTTTTACCATATGCAGTAGTTAAATATTTTTAAAAGTAAAACTTACAGGGAAATAACATAAAAGATAGTATTTAGTTGTCAGTGTGAAGAATTTCGGAATTTTCAGACAAAAGTGATCTGTGCATGGAGTGGATCATGTAAACATAATTCACATGTACGTAACAGTGGTTGTGTAGAGCATTTAAAAACTATAATACAGGAATGTCTGAAACCAAAGTAATAATCAAGATTTACAAGTCTTAGAAATTTTTAAAACAGCACTACATTTTAAGTACAGGCAAGAAATATTTAAATGCACTTTGAAAATGCAAGCAGATGACAAAATTTTGTTACTTGCAGTGAGTTTTACGAGAAAGAAGTGTACAAAAGGTGCTTATTTTCCCTAAACAATATTTTTCCTGGATTTGGACTCCCCACAAACTGATTTCATTGAAAAAACTACAGGAAAAATTGATTTAGATTGAGCATTTTCTTTCAACATAACACACAATACACCTCCACATTACAGTGACTTAATTCGAGACAGGGGGAAAACCACACAGATCCCCTCTTAGGAGAATTCTGGTTTAGTTGTGCATAAACATTCTACATTTGTATCATAAGGAGGAAATATTTTAACTTAATGAGACAGTCCTGCATTTAGAAATAAAGGCATGTAACATTTATTACAACTAGATGAGAAGTTGGCTGGTTACACTTGTATTAGATAGAACTACGCACAATTTGTCTAGCTTTTCTTTTCATGGAAAAGGTTCAAAATGTGTTCAGACTATGAGTTCAGACTATGACCTGTTGTTGGAATCTAACAGAACTGTGTGGAAAGAGAAATGTCAGATCTTCTTCTAATGATCGTGCATCATGGGTGTTGCAAACCAAGGAAAACAGAGCAACATTTTGGAATAGGGCATAGCTGAGTGGCACAACTTTAACTATCAGTCTTTTTAACTTACTCTATCCAGGAATGTTTTAACCTGAATAACTTAGTCCAGTAGCTTTATTCTTTTCAATATACTAGTAAGAACACAGAGAGCTATAAATTTTATAAGTATTACTGCTGACCTTGCCTTTCTTTGTTGAATCTCTGAAGAAGTTTTGGAAAAAATAACAAACATATTTTAAAAACTCTTTTACACTGGGAAATGTCTTTTGCTCATCAGACATATTCCATAGGGTGCTTTTTATCATCCCTCAGTGACACCTGAGTTTGTACAGATGAGCCAAGCTTATGAAAGGTGAAACCTTGATTTGAATTGGACAGAGTCCTATACACACACTCATCTCCTGAAACCGAAAGCTTATTTAGGAAAAAGATATCTTTATCTTTCTTTGAAGACTGGAGTGACGGGAGCACTGACGTTGGTAAGGAGAGTGGGGCTGGGAGACAGCTGTTGGACTGACAAAACTGAATCAATGAAAGTAGTTTATAAAATCTTGCAACCTGGTGCCATTTCCTCTGATGACAGTAATGACACAATAAACCAGTTCTCTTCCAGGAAGTGAATGGAAACAGTGGAGATACAGTGCACTTTTAAAAAAAAAACAGTTTTGTGTTAGGGTTGGCCAAACTGCTGTCTGAGCCAATAATCTGACATTTGTACAGATGAAGCTGATAACTGAGAAGAAAATTACCTTTATATCTTTTACACTGACCTGGAAATTGATTTCTTTTCATTTAGATATTCTACATACATCTCGTAACCTCAAATAAAGGTTTCCAAATACATATGTTGGAAAACTAACTGCCTAATCCCTCAGTGAGTGAAGCCAATTCAAATGTTGCCTGCACAAAGACAAAACCCTGTGCTCACCTGGAAGTTTTGTCTGGGTTGGTTTCATGGCCTGATCCAGAGCTGACTGCAGCCAGTGGGAGCAGCACCACCAAGTTGCTCCAGGCTTTGATCTCTTCTACACTCCTGATCACTTGGTCACCTAACTCTTCTTTTGCTGGAAGAAAGTGGACAGAAGTGTGGACAGTGGGACAATCATCACCATTTTTCCTGGAAACAAGAAGGCTCCTCCTTCGGAAGGAGCAAGAGCTTAAGGAGAGCTTCACAAAGCAAGGTCTTGGCGTAGGTGCTATGAATCACTACTTGAAGGAGCTCCTCTGATTCTACTGAATGCCTGGTAGAGCAGCTTCTAACATGAGAACAGAAGGTAAATGTTGCACATGACTTCCTATATTTGCCTTTGCAGTATTTTTCACACTGGCAGAGTTGTTACTAGGAAACTCCTCTGTGAGCTGAGAGTGTTCCAGCAGCAGTCATTAGGAACAAAAAAAAAAAAAAAAAAGAAAAAAGACAAAACATAGAGCCACTGTCACCTCTTGGTTTCATTTTCAGAGTGGATCCTAACGTTAGGAGTGTCACTGGAAACAATGCATATAAAACCAGCACAAGAAAGAAGTGTTCAATCTGCTGCCGAATGGGTAACATCTGAATTCCTGTGTAAAACTGCTGAGATTTTAGTAATACTAAAAGGCCTCTCCAAAAGACATAGACTCTTCACTATTAAATGAACTGCATGGTTATAGGAGAAGGCAGAATTTGGGAGAAATGTTTTGTTATATGACGACAAGGAATAAGCTACAATTTTCCCTGTGGATGAGGTACATCTGGATTTTTGCCCTTTACTTTCTATACACTGTAAATTTGAACTCCTGTTAGCAGGAAATTTAAATAACTCAAGGACTCTCTAAAGTGGCCCATTTGTGCAATTAATAAATTACAATTTATTATCACATAATACCCTAGGGGTCATGTGGGACTGAAGTGTCTGTGCACACGTAACACCAATAATGTAATCTCTGTAATGAGATGAGTACGGCTTTTGAATTAT